GAAGAAGAAGAAGAAGGAGAAAGAGAAGGAGAAGAAGACGAAGAAGAAGGAGAAAGAAAAGGAGAAAAAGAAGAAGGAGAAAGAGAAGGAGAAGAAGACGAAGAAGAAGAAGGAGAAAGAGAAGAAGAAGAAGAAGAAGAAGAAGACATGTACATTTACACAGTCAGTCGCCTTTGTGAGTGTTTAGCCGTGCTGGTACTATACATGTTTTGATTAATTCATCATTAATGTATGATCCCTCGCAGTAATAGTAGCTGTACACCGAAAAATGTACAGGAAATATTTACATTTTTAAAGAGGGATCTTTTAGTTCTCTCTGTCCCTCTCCTTCCTCTCTCATTACAGCCTTAATTCTAAGTGTTCTCAAAGTCATCTTCATCCGCCTTTAAGATCCCATCTCGAGCTGAGGATACGGCTCTCAGAGACAGCCTCTCCCTCCCTCCTTCCCTCTCGTCCTCTCGCGCGCCTCTCTCGCTTTCGTGTTTTGCTTTCTCCCTTTTTCGGATCTTGCTTTCTCTCTCTCTCTTTCGTATCTTGCTTTCTCTCTTTCGTGTCTTGCTTTCTCTCTCTCTCTCTTTCGTATCTTGCCTTCTCTCTCTTTCGTGTTTTGCTTTCTCTCCCTTTCATATCTTGCTTTCTCTCTCTCTCTCTCTTTCTTATTTTGCTCTCTATTTCGTATCTTGCTTTCTCTCTCTCTCTATCTCTCTCTCTCTGTCTTTCTTTTCCTCTCACGCGTCTCTTTCTCTTTTCGTATCTTTCTTTTTCTCTTTCTTTCACTCTCTCTGTTTCTGTCTCTCTCTGTCTCTCTCTCTCTCTCTCTCTCTCTATCTATCTATCTATCTCTCGAGTTCACTTTCTCTTTCTCTCTTCCTCTCGCACGTCTCTCTCTCTCTTTCTTATCTTGCTCACTTTCTCTCTCTCTCTATCTATCTATTTATCCTTCCCTCCTTCCTCCCCTGTCTTCCTCTGGCGCGTCTCTCTCTCTCTTTCTTTTCTTTCTTACTCACTCTCTCTCTCACTCTTTCTCTCCTCTTCTCTGGCAGTGATTCTGCGTGCCTATCTAACTCTTCTTTGTCTGTTTATCTTTTTGATTCTCTGTGTGTGTGCCTGTCTATGCGTCTGCTTTTCTGTGTGTCTGTCTATCTGTCTGCTTTTCTGTGTGTCTATCTATCTGTCTGTCTTTCTGTCCTCTCTCTCTCTCTCTCTCTCTCTCTCTCTCTCAAGACAAAGACAGACAAACTGAGACAGGGAGACACACACTGAAACAAACTACAATACAAATTAACGCACATTGTTTAGATACAAATACTGATACACACTGATAAAAATCTCAAGTTCACTGAAACTGTTACGCTATAATATAAACATCTACTCCACTGCACTAAACAGTTTAAAAGTGTTTCAATTGTATACACATATAAACACAAGAGATATTCAGATGTATGTGCCCGTGTGTCTTTTTTGGATGTGAGTTGATTAATGAGTGATTGAGTGACTATGCTAATATGTATTTGAGGTTATCAGAGTGGGAGTAACGAAGTAATTTGGAGTAGTCAAGAGATCCTGCAACCCTTCTTCCCCCTCTTCATCCCACTACCTGTGCTAACGCTTCTAGTACTTGCCAGCGGTGATCGACCTGCCCGATGCT